TTTTTTTTTTTTTTTTTTTTCTTCCTGAATTCAACTATAGCTTCATATTCAACAAGATTTTGTGTGGGCACATGGAAATTGCCTAGATAAGCCTGAGCATTTGCAGATCATTTGTGTAGGCTTTACTAGTCATGTGATCCTGGGTCACTTTCTTAATCTTTCTGTACCTCAATTTCCTCATCTCATCGGGCTATTGTAGGAATAAAATGAGTTAAAATGTGTAAACAGTACCCAGTACATAGTAAGCTAGTAACTATTTGATAGCACTGTTCTGAAGTGGTAGACAAAGCCTTGGAAGTAAATGTACTCACTGAAGAAATCAATTACTAAATAGGAAGGTTAACGAAATCCTTGGGATCTCACAATTAAGGGTCTGGGAGTCAAGTAGGATCACTCCAAGAGGAAGGAAGAGAAACAGGAAAGTGTGAACACCAGAACCATTACTCTCAGGCGTTGGTGATCAATATATTTACTACTGAGGTCACGGAAACAGATATTCCCCTCTCATCAGCTTCTGGGTTCTCCATACTCTATGCTTTCTTTTGTTATGTCCAGTGAGATTGGAGCTCACTCTGAAGGCTTCCCCATACTCCTCCCATTCATAATGTTTCTCTCCAGTATGAACTCTCCTATGTCCAATTAGAGCTGAGCACTGGCGGAAAGATGTGGCACACTCATTGCAGATGTATGGCTTCTCACCAGTGTGGATTCTACTGTGCTGCCTCAAGACTGAGCTATGGTGACAGGCTTTTCCACACACCTCACATTTGTAGTTTCTCTCCAATGTGAATTCCTTGATGATTGGTCAGGTTTGACTTCCCACTGAAAACCTTACCACACTTTGAACATTCATAAGGTTTCTCTCCAGTGTGGGTTCTGTGATGGATGGTAAGGCAGTACTGATCCTGGAAAGTTTTTCCACATTCCCCACACTGATAGGACTTCTCCCCAGTGTGATCTTGTTCATAAACTCTACATCTACAGTTATGCCAAACGGCTTTCCCACACTCCTTACTTTTTTAAGGCTTCTCTTCAGTGTGGATTCTTCTGTGTTTGGTGAGCTCCGCCTTCGTACTAAAGGCTTTCTCACACTGAGAGCATCCATAGTTTTTCTCTTGAGTGTGGCTTCTTTTGTGTTTGCTTAGGTCTGAGCTCCTAGTGAAAGCCCTCCCACACTCACTGCACTCATAAGGTCGCTCACCAGTGTGGCTTCTTGTGTGTTTGGTGAGGTCTGAGCTCCCCCTCTAAAGGCCTTTCCACACTCCTCACATTCATATGGCTTCTCCCCCAAGTGGATTCTGCTATGGATGGTAAGGGAA